AATAATGTTATGGTTGGGGGTCACCACAACATGAGGAACTGTATTAAAGGGTCGCGGCGTTAGGAAGGTTGAAAACCACTGCTCTAGAGACTGTAGACCTCTCCTTCTGCTGCCCTGGTTGTCCCCGTGGACCAGCACCCTGGGCATGACTACAGCTTATTAGAAATGCAGAGTCTCTGGCCCCACTTCAACCCACGGAATCTGAATCTTCATTTTAACAGGGCTCCTAGGAGGGTTGTGCGCACTTTACAATTTGGGAAGCCCCGGAGCAGGCACTGTGGAGCTCGATTCCCTGTTTTTAAACTCTTTTATTGAGAAATCTTGGCCCCATCATCCCAGGGACAACGAAAAAGACCCAAATCTGGCTGCATCATTTATTTACACATTTGCTCTGCTTTCGGTTTATATTCCTGTTGTAACAAATTACCGTAAACTTTGCAGCTTAAAACAACACAATCTTACAGTCCTGTAGATCAGATGTCCGGTGGGCCCCGCTGGTTTCCCTGTTGCAGGTCTCAAAGCCAAAATCCAGATACCAGCAGGGTTGGGCTTTGGGGGAGAAGCCACTTCCAGGCTCATTCAGGTTGTTGGTAGAATTTAGCTTCATGCTGTTGTAGGACAGAGGCCCCATTTCCTCGCTTGCCATTGGCCCGGGGATCAAGTTCAGCTCCTAGAAGCACCCACATTTCCTGGCTTGTGGTCCCCTTCATCTTCAAAGGCAGCAACAGTGAGAAGAGTCTCTGTCAGGCTTTGAATCTGTTCTGCCTCTTCTTCCACTGCATCTCTCTGACTCTTTTTTAAAAAATATTTTATTGATATTTTTACAGAGAGGAAGGCAGAGGGCTAGAGAGTTAGAAACATCTATGAGAGAGAAACATCGATCAGCTGCCTCCTGCACACCCCCTACTGTGGATGTGCCCACAACCAAGGTACATGCCCTTGACTGGAATCGAACCTGGGACCCTTCAGTCCGCAGGCCAATGCTCTATCCACTGAGCCAAACCAGTTAGGGCTCTCTGATTCTTAAAGGGCCCATGTGATTACATTGGCCCCACCTGGAAAACTTTCAGTCCATCTACAAAGCCCCCTTTGCCATGTGACATAACATAGTCACAGGCTCCAGTGATTTGGATGTAGGAATCTTGGGGGGGTGAGGGGGGCAGTAGTTTGCTCCATCTCTGAAAAAAAATGCATAAACTGTTCTCATTATTGTAATGACCTTCCTTTAAAAAGCCTTTTAACACTAAGAATGAAATAAAGTCCAATTCTACCCTGAAATCCTTACTCACTAGTTCTAGAAAAATTATTTTGAAAATAGGACTTTAAGTTCTTTAATCTGCTTTCTGTTTCTTCATCACATTTGTCACCATATGTGTAGCTCTCTGTCTCCCCTTCTGGAAATGTGCTCAAGGGGCAGGTGCTGGGTCGCATTCCTCTTTTTGTTTCCAGTACCCAGCCTGGTGCCTGGCAGGCACACAGTTGGTGCTTAATGAATGCAGAAGAAATAAATACTCATTGTTAAATACTCAAAAGTTGTTGATAAGCAGAGTTGGTGGTATTTATTCTTGAAGGGGTTTTTCCATTAATAATGTCAGTAAAATGTTTACAAATCCCTCATGTAACTCACAAGAACAGAGAGTAGAATGGTAGTTACCAGGAGCTGGGGGAGTTAAGGGGATATTTAAAGGTACAAACTTGTAACTAAAAGAGGAATAACATCTGGAGATCTAATGCACAGCATAGTGACTATCAAAAATGCTGTATTATAAACTATAAAGTTGCTAAGGAACTAGATGTTAATTGTTCTCACCGCAAACAATAAGTCATAGCTATTGAGTTGATAGAGGTGTTAGCTAACACTGTAGTGGTAATTATATTACAATATGTAAATTTATGAAATCAACACATTGTACACCTTAAACGTACCCAGTGCGCAATTTGAAATCGTGCAGTGCCGCCCACCCTCAGGTCCGGCCCTGCCTCCCTCTCTGGCCCTTGAAGTAGCTGCGGCCGCTGCTGATCAGGCCCTCTCCCAGCACAGGTATACAGAGGCCCCTGCTGCCCCGCCCCCAACGCTGTGCGCACAACATCCTGTCGGGTCAACCCATTACGGTGTCCTGGTTAATTAGCATATTTCTCTATGTTATATATAGATTATATTTCTATTTAAACTTGTGCAGTCACACAGCAAGGCAATGAACAGTCATGAATAGAGCTAGGATTTGGAACCAGGTAGTCTGTTGAGAAAGCCTGTGATGATCACACCCAGACCCACACATTTCTCAGAGACAATGACCTTGTGTACAGCCTTGAACGATGAATAGGAATCGGCCAGGTAGGTGTTGTGAGCGGAGAAGTTGAGAGTATGACAGGGTGTTCCAGCTTCTAGAAGCAGCCTGAGCTAAAGATACGGGGTGTGAACCCCCGTGATGGGAATGCAGGTTTTGAGGAGGGGTGTGGTGACAGAGCAAGTTCCTGTTTTTTTCTGTGGGTAACGCTTGAGTGGAAATTCAAGAGTCTGCAAGTGCCGCTGGGAAGGAGGCCTTGCCCATTGGAGGATAAGCCTGTGCCCACACTGACCCCTGCTCAGTTCTTGCTGCTCAGATCCAACAGGAAGGACTCCAGTGACTAGTCTGTGATAAATCATGTTGTGAAGCAGTTCTTTGTCTTCTGGGTCAACTTACACAACTAGTCCTGATTTCCCCAAAGCCACTCTGTGTGGATTTATCTAAGCTCTTCCTCTACCTAATCATGCTTTTGGCACCATCTCTTGGAATAAATTGTTTAACAACCCTGTTACCATGTTGCCCTTTTAGATTTGCCCTGAAATTGCTCCACGTGACCCTTCAGGGCTGTCTCTCAGTTTCTTACATTTCTGAGATCACTTGATCTTATTGGTGGACTGCAGGCATATTTCTTTGTACCCTGAGAAGATCTTTCAGTTTGCTTTAAAAAAGAAGCATTTTCCTTGCTTTACTCATTTTAATGGTCCCTCTTGGGGCTTATATAAGTCTCCTTAGCTTCCTTGATATGAGATGGCAAGAACTTAAGTGTTCCAAGTGACGACAATGCATTGTGGTTTTGCAGAGGAAAGGATGACAGAGTAGGGGTTTGTCATTTTTATTGTTGTCTTAGAGGAGGAGCAGATGAAACTGGCTTTAGGGAACTTGTCTTGTGCCTGATAGTTTAGAGCAGGGGTGGGGAACCTTTTTTCTGCCAAGAGCCATCTGGATATTTATAACATCATTTGAGGGCCATACAAAATTATCAACTTAAAAATTAGCTGCTATATTTGGTCCAACATTTCATGAACTCGCCCCTAATGCCTTGGCAGGGCCAGACCAAATACTTTCATAGGTCTTCTATGGCTCACGTCCCGGACGTTCCCCACCCCTGGTTTAGAGTATCTTTCCTGATGATTTTATCATCTTGTTCATTTTTCTTCAATAAGATTCTATAGGCACTTAGAACTGAGAACTTAGAACCTGTTGTTTTATGAAGATGGTTTATTTTTTTCCAAAAATATATTTGCTTCCCAGAACGTTCATCTACCACTTTTCCACTCAGTTGTGTGGCATTTTGAACTTTCTCTAGAGTTGTCATTGAGCTAGCGATTAATTACCTGAATGAATGATTGTTATTCAAGTGGAGATATTTCTGTACCCTCTTCCTTCCACACGAGTTATAAAAATGTGAAATAAAGTTAGTCTCTGTAATTTCTCATTCTATTTCCTCATCCACAGTAGGGCCCATTTAACTAAGTTGTTTTCATACAGGGTGAGGCAAAAGCAGGTTTACAGTTATTCGTATGTAAAACAATAGAATAATTAATAAATAATAATACAAGAATAAACTGTGTTTCACATAGGAACAACTGTAAACCTACTTTTGCCCTACCCTGTATTTGTCATTAAACATTCCTCAGATACCACAGGGATTTCATTTTTAAAAATAATCTTCACCACTGGAAACTTTAGGAATTTAAGTAGTGCATGCTAATGTCCCTCCATCTACTTGCCTATGTGCTTAGCTTCTCAGAGGTCTCCAAGTAGTCCTATAACCTGTATTTCTATTGCAGGTGGAGTTTACACCCACTGTGATTTAGAGCTACTTGTAATTGTGGCTCAACTTTTATTTGCTTATGGTCTCTCAGTTTCCTCTCCATATAACATTCAAGGGGGTGATGTTAAAAATGGCTGTGCTTCCCCAAGCAATCTGTACTCTCAGAGCTTGTCATCCAGCAATGTAGTACCCACCACTGTCCTCAAAGTGATGTAGCTAGTCCACTTTTAGTAGTAATTGTGCACAGATTTTTTAAACCAGAATTGAATGTTTGATTTTGCTAGTTATTTTGAAAATTAAATGATGGAGATGTTTTGAGTTGAAAAGGCATGAAAGGAGTAGTAAAGGAACTTACCACTTGAAGGTAGATAAAAGAACAGAGATGCTAGTTCTGGCTCTATTTCCCCTGCCCACTACGCCCACCTTCCTAAAGCTGTTAGGACAACAAGTTACTGTACCACCTGGAACACAGTGCACGTGCCTGGGTCAGGACCACCAAGAGCTAGTTTGTCAGGAAACTCAACCAAGCACAGTTTTCCCAGACCAGCTTTGGGGGACCTGGAAAGTTGGTTTTACAGAAGCTTTCTTTAATATTCTCTATAAATCAATTTTGGCCTGTTAGGATCTAGACTACTTTAGGGTGACTACTAGTAATCTTCTGAAAGACAATTCTGGGAAAATTACAATAATACCAAAAGATCTACTCACAGACATAAGCAAGTTGTTTCATTTGGGGGATTGATTTGCCTGCCTTTGGAATTATTCAATTTAAAAAAATTTACTTCCCAATATAGCTTTGGTGAAGTTTGATGCTTTGGTAATACAGGATGTTTGATTCTGAGTTCAAAATAATTAAAAATTATGGTTAAAATAAAGCTTTTCCCCCTTATTTCAGTCCACTTATACAACTAAGCATCTGTCTTATTGTTTTTTCCTAGGATGGTCCAGATTCTGCTGGAGGAAACCGGACAAAGCAGGAGAGTGCATGGCTGTTCAGGCTGTGGTACAGCTTTGACCACAAGTATCCTTTGAAGTAGTTTCCCCTCAAACAGTGATGATGAAATCGTCCTGTTGAGTTGCCAGTAAATGACTTCTGATAAGTAAGGAAGGATGTGTACAGTGTAGTCAGTTCTCGCTTGGGACTCATGCAGTGATCATTCAACCACAGGTAGTCCTGGTGAGCATCTCTTTGGGTAAGAGATTTAGCCGGCCCATAGCCTGGTAGACTCATGTGGTTCTGCAGAGCTTTGTATACAAGGGGAGTGTGGCTTTGTAGGTGAATTGGTGTGGTCAGGAAGTGAAGTGAAGCATATTATTCACTGGGCTTAGTATTTGGTAATTAAATATGATAAAAATAACTTTGCTACTCGTGACTTCCATTTTCGCTTTTTTATTTTTTAAATTTATCTTTATTGTTGAAAGTATTACCCATGTCCTCTTTTTTTGTTATTTTCCCCCATTGACTCCCACCTCCTTGCACCCACCCCTCCCAAGCTTTTGGCACACTATTGTCTGTGTCTATGGGTTATGCATGTATGCATGTAAGTTTCCCAGTTAATCTCTCCCTCCCACCCCCATCCCCACTTTTCCTCGTACATTCATCAGTCTGTTCATGGTTCTGTGACTCTGGATCTATTTTGTTCATCACTTTATTTTGTTTATTAGATTCCACATACGAGTGAGATCGTGTGATACATTTTCACTTTTAAATACTCTTTTGATGAACAAGGTCTTCGTCCAATTCACTGATTTTTTTCTGTTCTGGTCAGTACTCTTTGTGTCCTGTTTTAGAAATCTCTGTCTATCTCAAAGTCTTGAAGCTAATTTCCTGTGTTCTCTTTTAGAAGCTTTATATTTTTTCTTCTGTGCACCTTTTTTTTTTCAGTGACAGATATGGGAACTGAAAAAGTATACAGATAATTTGAAGTGCTCTAGATGAGGTTTTCATTCTTCTGAGATAATTTAATTTACATTGGGTCTAGGTTAGGGGCATTAGTAATTCCAGATCACTTTAGTGCAATCAGAAATAAAAGTGATTTGAAACTGGACTGCAGTTCCTGTGAAGGTTAGTCTGTTTTCTGTCTACCCTTTGTTCTAGGGCAGTGGTCGGCAAACTGTGGCTCAGCAAACCACGGCTCAGCAAAACTTTGGCCCCTCGAGTGTAGCTTTTCCACAAAATACCGGCTCTTCCACAAAATACCGACTTCTGCGCACGGGCCACGAAGTTTCAGTCGCACTGTACGTGTGCACCTGCACGTGGTATTTTGTGGAAGAGCCACACTCAAGGGGCCAAAGAGCCGCATGTGGCTTGCGAGCTGCCGTTTGCTGACCACGGTTCTAGGGTTCCAACCTAGAGCCTAGGGTGTTTACCCAGCCTTCCTCAGAAGGCCCTGGACACCAGTTTTTGTCAGATTCACTATTTTTTCAGTCTGCCAGATGCTCTGCTCAGCTGCTGAGGTGCTTTAGGGAAGACGTGGCTCACCAAGCGCCAGGCTCCCCACTTGGGTGTCCTCCTCCAGATTCTGGCTCTCTTCACTGCCTTGGTAGCTTTCTGATGCCATTAAGCAGAAGATTTTGTTGTGTTTTATCTTGACCTAGCTTTTCTAGTCATTCTTAGTGGAAAGGATGGTTTAAATTATTGTTTACTATTGTCTGCTATTAACTGAAATAGAACCCCCAGAGGTTTCTTAAAGTCGTATGAACTTCGTCTACATTGTAATTCAGAAGGCATGTTACTGGGCTTAGAAAGGATGTAGAGAAAACTGGAGGGAGTTCACAGGTGAGTGACAAAATACTAAAGTGATAAGAAATTGATTCTTGTCAGCACTTAGTACTCCACTTTCAACAATGGGTAGATTATCCATATGGAAAATCAATAAGGAAACATTGGACTTGAACTACATTTTAGATCAAATGAACCTAACAGACATTCACGGAACATTCCATCTAACAGCAACAAAATGTACACTCTTCTCAAGTGCACGTGGAACATTCTCCAGGATAGATCTGTGTGTAAGATCACAAAACAAGTCCTAGAAAATTTAAGAAGATAGAAACTAAAGCAAGTATCTTTTCCAACCACAATGGTATGAAAATAGAAATCAGTAACAGCAGGAAAACTGGAAACTTTACAAATATGTGTACATTAAACAGCACACTCCTGAACGAACAACCAGTGGGCACACATTAAACAATACACTCCCCAATAACCGATGGGTCAATGAAGAAATCTGAAGGGAAATAAAAAATATATCTTGAGACAAATGAAAATGGAAACACAACATAACAAAACTTATGTGATTTAGCAAAAGCAGTTTTAAGAAGAGACAGAAAGTTTATAGTGTTAAATACCTACATTAAAAAAAGAAAGATCTTGCCCAGTCAGGAGGTCATGCCCAGGTTGTAGGCTGGATCTCCAGTGTGGGGTGTGCAGGACGCAGCCGATCAGTGATTCTCTCTCATCATTGATGTTTCTATCTCTCTCTCCCTCTCCCTTCTCTGAAATCCATAAAAGTATATTTTTTAAAAAAAGATCTTGCCCTGGCCAGTGTGGAGGGTCTTGCCTTCAGTTTGTAAAACAAACAAACAAACTAACAAACAAAAACACATCTGTGAGGTGCAATAAAGAGAAACGCAATAAAACCAGGTATGGCTACATTGTCTGTATTGTACTGGTAAAATGGGGGAAAGAGACATTTTCTAGGTCGAATGTCAGATGATTTACTTGTTGGGATTTCTCAACACATTTTGTTGGGGGTTTCTTTGCAGACATTGTTTCCTTAATTCTCTTTTTAAAGTTACTTGAAGCCCATCCTCACACACAGTGGCCCCCCATTAACCACCACGCTCCCAGCCTGGTGTGGCTTGCTCGCTCGATGTCTGACCAGTCCCCAGGTGTATGACGTAAGTACTGCATGTCAGGGCGGCATTTCTATGCAGCCTCCAAATTCACAGAAATTGCTTCTCCAGTAAGATGATTGATTACAAATGACCAGCTTCCTGTGCTTAATACATTGTGCACAGCAACAGAGAGACCTTTTACTAGGGTTATGGGGTTCCCAAACATTAGCAGCTATGACGTAGCAGAAAGATTCCTCTCTGTCCCTCTGAGGCTCCAAACTTTAAAAGAATGAACTACATGCCGAGGAATCTCCCCCTGAAATCTGGGTGCTAAGAGCCCTGGGAGAGGTATTTTGACAGAAATGAACAAAAACAATATTTAGCACATGCATTAATGGGAGAAATGGAACATACTAAAACAGGGAACGTGATGTCATTTGTTGTTAATAAAACTATCACCAGGCCCTAACCGGTTTGGCTCAGTGGATAGAGCGTCGGCCTATGGACTGAAAGGTTCCAGGTTCGATTCCGGTCAAGGGCATGTACCTTGGTTGCAGGCACATCCCCAGTTGGGGGTGTGAAGAAGGCAGCTGATCGATGTTTCTCTCTCATCGATGTTTCTAACTCTCTATCCCTCTCCCTTCCTCTCTGTGAAAAATCAATTAAAAAATATATATATATATATATATATATATATATATATATATATATATATATATATATATATATTTTATTTTTTTTTTAAAGGCTATCACCGGGCAGAGTTTCAGGACTTTCTAAATAGTGATGGAGAGGAGGAAACGGGGAGTTTGGAGCGAGTTTTAGAATTCCTCTCTGCCCGACTACAGGACTCTTGATTATACATTTGCATCCTGCCCGAATCCAGTGAAGATTTGAGGCAGCAAGCAAGAGGAGTTGTGTGCTTGCCTGTTAAGCTGCAGCATTGGTTAAATGGAGTCACATTGTGGAGTTTGGAGAAGTCGACATTTAGAAACAATGCAGAAAGCATGGGTGTGTTTGTCACCAGTAAGGGCACAGAGATGGGCTGGGACTAGAGAAGCCAGGTAGGCAGAACCCAGGAGTCCTCCCTAGGCCAGTGCACTTAACAGGCATTCCTCTAGCACCTACTGAGTTAAGCACTTCAAGGAAGGGTGCCAACAAGAGGAGAAGAAGGCCACTGCCCTTTGGTGATTCACCCAGATGGGGAGTCCAGGCATGGACACAGGAGAATCTGCCTGTGGCCTTGGGCAGCATGACTGAGCGGGGACCATGGACTATCAGGGCAGGTTCAGGTCCTGCAACAAGGACACCCTGTGTGTAGAGGACAGGATGTAGGACTTCAGATGTGCTTTGAAGGGTAGATAGGAAATAGGAGAGAAAGAGCAGTTTTCAAACTGTGTTTGCTATTCAAGAAGGAAGTCCAGACCTAGCCGGTTTGGCTCAGTGGCTATAGGGTCAGCCTGCAGATAGAAGGGTCCCAGGTTCGATTCCGGTCAAGGGCACATGCCTGGGTTATAGGCTCAATCCCCAGCCCTGGTCAGGGTATGTGTGGGAGGCAACCAATTGATGTGTCTCTCTCACATCAGTTTCTCTCTCCCCCTCTCCCTTTCACTCTCTCTAAACAATCAATGGAGAAATATCCTCAGGTGAGGATTAACAAAACAAAACAATAAAGGAAGTCCACAGTTTTTGACAGCCATTGAAATAGGGGAGTGGGGGAGCACCCCACCCTTGTTTTGCTTGTTGAACCCGTTGGAGAATGAAAGGTTGTGTCTGACCTCACGCTGCTTCCTTATACTCTCTCCCTGCCATCTTTTAATTTCAAATGGCTGCCACTTGGCTGACGCCTGCCTTGCACAGCCTAGTCTTTTTTGCTACAACTGCTGCTTATTATGAGATGTTGTCACAGTCCTCTTCCCAATGGGGTCACTTTTCATATCGTTTAGGTGGGCAGAACCAGTCTGGAGGTAGCATAAATCCAAACCTTCCTACCAGCTGGACAACCTTGGGCAAATTTCATAGGTTCTCTTAGCTCAGATCTTCTGCTCTGTGACATGTGCTTGCACCCTTCTCAGGAGAGGGGTAAGGATCAAATGAGAGCTTATGTGACATTCCTGGCAGGCATATAATAGACCAGTGATGGCGACCCTTTTGAGCTCGGCGGGTCAGCATTTTGAAAAACCCTCACTTAACTCTGGTGCTGTGTCACATATAGAAATTTTTTGATCTTTGCAACCATAGTAAAACAAAGACTTATATTTTTGATATTTATTTTATATATTTAAATGCTATTTAACAAAGAAAAATCAACCAAAAAAAATGAGTTCGCGTGTCACCTCTGACATAGGTTCACCATCACTGTAATAGACCGAGCATGTCAGACTTAAAGGCTAACACAGGCCAAATAAACAAGGTTTAAGTGTATGTGGACTGCAAAAAAAGAAAAGCTTCAATTTTCATAGAAATGTGGGTTTATTTCGATAGAGACTTGCTAAATACAAAGGGCTGAAATAAATGAGTCATCATTAACATAAAATAATAGAACATTTTAATAAAAATTAGTATTTTTTCTTGAACATTCTTACCAGACACTGAATAGCTGCACAAATTAATAAGCATAATGCAGATAAACCTATTTTTCTTGTTCTCCGAAAGCGAAATATTTCCTGTTGTGCACACCAAACAGGTCAGTACAAGACGAATGACGTGGCCATCAGCTGCTAAAATATTCACTGCTAGTATCAGTGGAGAGAAATGGTGCGCCTGCGTGTAAGGCACGTAAGGGAAATGAATGCAACACGATTATAGTAATCAGTCATTAGCGAATGTTGTAGTTCATTATTAATAATTATGTATAACAAGTTATTGTAAAAATTAAGTTACGAATTTTTTACTAAAACACTTCTTACGTACCATTATATTGGCTGGGCCGCAAAAATATTCATTATGGGCTGCGAGTTTGACGTGCTTGGACGCTCAAGAAAATATACCTTCCCTCTGTATCACTTGCTTCATCTATATGAGGACTTCCCATCAGGGATTTTGTGTGGCGACAGGAAGGAAATCCTAATAATGGTTTGTCCTCTTCCCTCCATGCTGACGAAGGTAAAGAGTAGTTCAGACGTAAACTAGGTGTGTGTGTGTGTGTGTAGGATGGTTTGTGTAGGGCAGGAGGCCCACCCAGAAGACCTTCCTAGAGGAGAGAGGACCTGAAACCTATTTGCAGGTCTTCCCAGTGACCTTAGACCTTCCTTTCTTTGTGGGTTGGGAAACTGAAAATCCAGGTTGGTTTCCTTTTCTTCCGTTTTGTCACAAACTGTCAGGCATTTAAAATCACAGCTGCTTTTTGCTATTCCAAGTCCTAATTCAGGCAACAGTGCTATACATTGAACAGCACGCTACAGTTTCCATCCAGTTCTCATGCTGGAGGCTCAGTGCAGGCAAGTCTCATGATCCCCAGTTTCAGATGAGGAGTTGAGATTGGGGTTGGCTGGAGCTCTGGGAGATTCCAGTCTTCGATTTGTTGTTAATTGTTATTTGTTGCACTTTTCAGAACCAAGAGCCACTGAGAGAGGAAGACTCTGATTTCATCCTGACTGAGGGTGACCTCACCTTGACCTACGGGGACAGCACAGTGACTGCCAATGGCTCCTCAGGCTCCCACACGGCCTCCGTGAGCCTGGAGGGCTGTCGGAAAACAAAGAGCAGTTCTGAGGAGGCGCTGGAACGAGACCTGGGAATGGGAGACCAGAAGGTTTCAAGCCGGGGCACCCGCCTAGTGTTCCCCCTGGAGGATAATGCATGACTTTCCCCCCAAACCCTGAAGAGATGGGGTAGACCCACCGGTGGTGTGGGGCTGGCTGCATGTTCCAGTGTTGATTGAGGTGGGACAGTGACTGAATGGAACTAACGCTTCTATTGTATTGAGGTCTGAAGATATCTTAACATTTAAAATTTAACCCAAGATACAGATGGTGGGGCTCAAGACAAATGCAGATCTATTCCCACTTTTTCACTTAGTAGTGCACTGTTCAGAGTTAAACAAACAAAAACAATCGCATGCTTTACTGGTCTCTAATTCATTCACCTGTGGTACCTGAACAAGGTGTGGTGGGTGCCGGTGACCCCTCCCAGGAGAGGCTCCGTATCCATATACAGCAGTGCAAGTCTAGCTGGATGTAGGAATATCAAGTGAAGGGAGAACAGGCTAGAAGAAAGATCACGAAGGAAGGCCAGTGAGATTGGACCTCTAAGGATGAGGGGAAGCTGGTGTTAAATGGGACAGAAAGCATGAAAAAGCAATTTGAGTGGAGGCTCCAGCAACAAGAGATGATGACAGCAGCCTCATCTCTGGATTCCTGACTTCTTTTGCTGCCTGTATTTTCTCTAGACTGAAGATTGGGAAATATATCCATCAACATTTCAACATGGGGGAAAGAATTGTAATTCCTTCTCTGGAAATCTCCACAAAGAAGAAGTTACTGGAATGTTTCAAACCAAAGGCAAAATAGTGTTAAAGTGCTGTGTTTTTTTGTTTTGTTTTGTTTTGTTTTTTCATTAATGTGAAGGCAGGAGAAACTGTTTAGAAACTGATGATTACATCACTGTAAACATCAGTCAATTCTTGATGGCTGCCATATGAGCTGACTGCCTGGAAAATGGTTAACAGGACTGACATATCTACTGTGGGTTTAGAAAGAACACGAAAATTTGTGGAGTGCTTTGATCTGGTGACAAGAAGGCAGTAACAACCCTCAGAGGCAATACGCTAGTATTCAGAGGGAAGAAATCTCACTGTGAAAAAAAAAATCACTGCAAAGAAAACACAAGATTGTATTCTAAAGACTTAGTAGAATTCCAAACTTTGAGCTAAGAAATGAATGAGATTTCAGTGGTCACCTGAAGAAACAGGCGAGGCAGTGGAATGTTAAGCTTTATTTATACAGTGGAAGCTTCCTGTCCACTCTCAGATTAAGAATCGAGGTGTCTTGGCAACTGAGTGCCATGTAGAGAAAGGTCATTTTCGTGGTATCTGGGGAGGTCTGCACCAGCTTCATGTGTGAGTGTGGTCTGAGATTTAGATTTCTACTTTGGGTTCTTTTGTGGGTGAGCTGTTCTACCTGCCCACACCTGTAGTAAGTGAAATATGGAGGAGAACTCTTGGAAGCCAAGTTTGAGATTCTCCCTGTGCTCTGTGCTTCAGTGCTATTATTTTCAAAAACCCAATTTCTAAAAAATGCTTTCATTTAATGTGGCCATTTCCCTTATAAGATAGTGGCTCAATCTAGCATACCCATCATGAAATCAGCCATTTAACCTTCTTAACTTGCATTTTTAATGGTTAATTTTTAAATAAGACATTGTTTCGCCCTCTTTTTCAGTTGATAATTTGTGCAAATCAAGAAAAATTTATTAGTTTGAGCCATATGAAATTGCTGGTATTCAACCATTTTTTTAGAGAAACAAAAATGACAATTTCATATAGTTCAGTATAAGAGAATTGGGTGATTTTTATTCCCCTTTCTCTTCTATCTACACTAAAGGACATTTTGATTTGATGGTCATCCATGGGCTTTGTAAGTTTGGGGAAAAAGCTAAACATACTTACCTCATGCTTCCACTATGCTGAAAAGTAAAAAGTAGGGTGCCGAGAAACTAACCCAAGGCTAACTATTTGCTGCCAGTCTGGTATAAACCAGATAGAAACTGCTGAGTAATGGTACATCCAAGTAAGCAACATTCTTCTGAGAGGATAATCCCAAGTCATTTTATAAGCATATGTGTTCTGGGTAGGGTGGGGGGGGGGTTACAGTTCTGCAAAGTCGGATGTTCTAGGGCAGAGGTTCTCCACCCTGGCTGCACATTAGGATGAGCTGGCCCATTTATTGAGAATATCAACATAAAGGCCCACCCTCAGAGATCCAGATTCAGTAGGTTTAGGGTGCGGCCAGGCTTCTGTGCTATGTTTCGATCCTCAGGAATTCTAATCTGCAGCTCGGGTGGAGAGCCTTTAGTCTAGAACTTGCAGTGGGCCCAACTTGAAACCTTAAAGGATGACCTAGCAAATTCAGATTTTTTTTTTTAATTATTAGTCATGTGGAACAAACTGAGTGTTGATCAATAATACAGACCAGGTAGCTGTGAGTGAATTTCGTGCTAATAATGTTTGTAGAAGTCAAACACATACTCCATAAATACAACTAAAAAAAAAAGGTCACATTAGAAAACCGTAGAGCCTGAAAGGGGGAGAAGGATGACTTGAATGTATATATTGGAGGGATTAAAACCTGTCATTTTTGCTCCGATTTGTGGGGGAAAGGGGTTTTGTCTTAACTGAGCTGCTGACTAATCAAATGTGAAGGTTTCTAACAAGCTGTCTTTTCCATTTAACCTGGGATTAAATTAATAGTCCCCTTTGCAGTCAAGTGAACTTTCTTTCTCTTCACACTTCACTCGTCTCCATGCCTGAATGCACACTGGACTCCTTAAAATAAGGGGGAGGGCTGTCCACTGCCAGAGCACAGGCCCCTTATTACGTGGAAGGTTGTGATCACTTCGCTGTCATGTGGTGGTGGTGTTGGGAGCTGGTAGTTAAGGAGATGCAAACTTTTGTGGATAGCACTGGCAGAGGGAAGATATAAACTCCTGACATTCCTTTTAATATTCTTTTCCTAGAGAGGAAATTTAGGATTTAAATAAGTCTGCATTTCTTCCTAGGAAGCAAGTATAGGAAAGGCATATGTAATTAAATGGACACTGACCATCAATGATACTTATTGGGCTGACCAGACAAATAAGCATTGATGCCTTGCAGCCAGAAACAACACTGAGACATCAAGTGTTGCATCAACCAAACAGCAAGAGCTCTTTAGGCTGTGATCCCTAGACCTGAAAACGCCGTCTGTGGTTTGGTTGAAAAAACAAATTTTAGAAAACACCAAAAATGTTATCTTCACTATCCATGAACATTTCAGACTAGAGCAAAGAAGTGACTGTTCCTTCCAAAATAGAGGTCTGTTGCACGGCCTTCCTTCACCCCTCATCATATCCCTCCCTTTTTCTGTCCATAGTAGAAGTTAATGTAATCATGTTGAATATTTGATGTGAACAGTGACTCTTAAATGTAGAAACACCACTGATGTCCTTAGAGATCGGTGCCAGGGCAATTGAGCCATTCATCAGAGGGGAATCACCTGCTTGGAAACCTACCTTGGTACCCATTGTGACTTCTAAGGGGTGTATCAGAAAACTAAGTTTACCATCTCTTGTCAAATGTATTCTGGAATGAGGGTTGCTGTTTCAATGAATGACTTCTTATTCCACTTCAGGAATAGGGAACTAGACAAGTTTCATGCCTGCCTTTGATGTTGATTCTGCAGATGAGTTGGTACTGTAGGGGCTAATCTGTCAGAAACTTTAGACTGGTGTCATTGAGTTCTGATCTCTTCTGTCGTTTTCTAAGTGGGGATCTGGCTGGCCAGTGTCATTTGCTATGTCCTCACACAGCAAGTTGAAGAATCCAGTGGGCAAGAATTAGAATTTAGAAACAACCCATCTGAATACTGCTTTCACCACTTTGATACCTGAAAAGACCTTTCCCCTTTCTAAAACCTAATAAGAACAATATACAGACAAATACCATAGAAACCAATGTGAGGATCTGACTAGGAAAAACAAGTAGGATTTTTGACAGTCCTTTCAAAACAAGATTTAGAAGTAAACCATATTTTCCAGTTTCAATTTTCATAAGTAGAGTTTTTAAAAAAAATAACAAACACATCTTGTCTTGTCACCCAGTGCTAGGAGAAATTGTAAAGAGCAAAACCAAAGTTTTTGATGTAAATTTTATTTTTGTAAGCAGGGTATACGATAACCATGGTCCACATGGAACACGTAGGCACCGGTTTTCTGCTAGTTGAGCCTTGGAGAAGATGAGAAGGAAGGTCTTCCTGTTCTGCTGCCTTTTGAAAAGGTCTGAAATAGACATGAGAGCACTTGGGAGAGGCCATCCTTTTCTTCTGATGGCCACCTTTTAAAAAGGGTTAACGGGATGTCATCATCACCTCAATTCTTTGCCAATGGAGAATGATTTGGGCCTGTGTGTGCTGGAGGAGCTCAGAAGAAAAAGGACATGGAAATAGCTTGAATAACTCTACATCTCTGTCAAAAGCACTTAAATACAGTTAAGATCCAGTGTTACTGGGTGACCATCCAACTGCATGGACATCTGGGGGTTGACTTTTGTTGTGATTGTTCCAGCTGTGGGCTCTGTAGAAGCAGAAGAATGATTTTCGGTTGTGTGGGTATTATGTCACTCTATGGATTTGGAATGTATCACTGCACGCACTCATTCAAAGTATGATTTCATAGTAGTGTCACCTACTCCTAGGTTTTCTTTTTTACATAAAATACATCTGGTCTTCTTACTTAGAAGTTTTTGTTCATTAAATTTATTCAATGCGAAGGCCACCAATATTCATTTAATAGCTACAAAGCAATTTTTTACATAGAATAGGATAAATTAAACATGGACGATGTGACCTTCTGGAGAACTTTTTATAGAAAGCTTAAATACTGTAGTTGGGGAGAATTTTGTCTTCTATTTCCATTTAACTGTGGCAAACTGGTGGTTTTATAAAATTAACATTATGTAACAGTACGTTATATAAACATGTTATACAAAATAATATTAAAATATGTTTAACTGTGAAAAAGTGAAGACTTGGAGTTATCAGCAACCTTTATGTGCAATAAAGAAAACTGAAGTTAGACCCCAAAGTGCTGTCTTTCCGTAGCATCCTACTTAATGTTTGCCTTTGTGTATATGTTTAGATTGATATTGTAAAGCTAGTCACATGTTTTCCTGCTTTTGCTGATATTTAACACATTTTTCTCAAAGCTCTTTCTGTACTTTTTTTTTTTTTTTACAAAACTCAAAATAAAAAGATTAACTGGCTGAACTGACCTTGTTTTGTCTTTTAAAAGTATTGTCTGTTAGTAGAAGTGTAGTATGATCGTATTCTTCACTGAGAGGTTCTTTTCTAGGTGGAAGCGATTCCTCTCCAGCTTCATTTACTAGTAGACCAGGAGTTGACAAATGACAGCCGGCACCTGGATCCGGACTAGCCCACTGCCTGTTTTGTAAATAAAGTTTTGTTGGCATACACTATGCTCATTCATTTGCATATTGTCTGTGACTGCTTTCATGCAGAACTGAGAAGTTATGACAGAAGTGAGCAACTATTTGCTTATAAAGCAGGAACCCTTTACTGTCTGGCTCTTCACAGAAAATGTTTTTGACAACCTGATTTAGATGCTTGAAAAACTTTGTAGACTAGCTTTCCCCAGAATCAAACTACATCATAAAATCTGAAGCTTCCTAGCAAAACAAAACAAAAATCCTATCATTAGCATGACTCAGTCATTTAATAGTATGATTACAAAACACCAAATGGAACAATTTAAAAGCAAAAAATGGTTTCAGTTCATTTCTCTCCCACCCTACAGAAAGAAATTACTTTTTAAAAATCAGTTCAGGGGTGGTGGCAAGGGGAGCTGTTTGAAGAAGGGTTGGATGAGTCAGGTTTAAAACAATATCATCTAGACCTTTTATTTAATAGTGCGTAATTTAATAGAGATACACAGGACCGTGCTTGGCCCTTATTCACATTAATGTTTTGTCCAGACACCTGATGATGGGAAATGGTACCAATCGCATCTTTTTTGTTGTGAGGACGCCTTGTTGAAATGGCTCCAGCCGAGGCAGGTTCGGGCTGGGAACTAAAGCTCTTCCTATTTTATTGCCATGATTATCCACATTGCACTTCCTTACTGGAAACTTTGTTTCAACCAATGTGTCCGTCATTATTTAATACGCTCATGATATTCCTGCTCTCCAGAATTGCACAGCAGTTGGTACCAAATCAAGTCCCAGTCTCTGACAGCGTGATAGATTGCCTCCACAGCACTCAACATGCTGAGTGCCCCGTTCATGATGCCTGACCTGGAAGGAAAGAAACAAAGGATGTTTGAACTTCAGAACACCAAAATTCACAAACAGCCTGTTGAATCCTGATGATATAAAGCCTCTTAAATATTAAACCTTTAATCTTCCTTATCTAAGCTGCATTATTCAATGCTAGAAATCCATACCAAACCAGTATCTATCATTTCTGCTTTGTAAAGACAGTCCAGGAATAAGTGTAACCCAAGGGGGGTTAGATGAGAATAAAGACAGGAAAAAGATGGGGTACCTCTGTCAGAGTGTGCTTTCTGCAAATGCTCCTGTGGGGTGCCTTTAAGGAAAATAGAGCTTTCTGAGACTAGGTAGAGTGAGGGAAAGAGGTGGGATTGAAGCTATACCTGTAGCCCCCAAGTAGACTAAAAAAACTATCAAATTTCCTACCATTTTCAATATTTTTGTTGTGGTTAAAATATAAACATATCCATTAATTCTTTTTTTAATCTTTATTGTTGAGAATATTACAGATGTCCCTCTCCCCCCACCAGCCCCCATTGTCTCCCTCCACTCAGTTCCCACCCCACCCCAGGCCTTCACCACCCCATTGTCTGTGTCCATAGGTAATGCATATCTACACTAATAAAAGAGAAACATGCAAATTGACTGTACCTTCACGACCCCCCACCAGCCAATCAGGAGTAAGTATGCAAATTAACCCAACAAAGATGGTGGGTTAATTTGCATATGCAGGCGCCGAGAGGCCAGGGGTGGGACGCTGTTGCCAGGGCGACGACGCCAGCATCCCAAGCCCAGGCCGCGGGGGAAGGGAGGGATGCAGACACAACACGGGGCTGCTAGGCTGGGGGCATGCTCCCAGCCCAGCGGACACAATGTGAGGCTGCTGGGCTGGAGGTGTGCCCCCGTGGTGGCTTCCTTCACGCAGCGGTGGTGACTAAGCCCCCATGCCCGGCAGACAGAGAGCGGACAGCAGGGCATGGCAGCTCCATTCATGCAGCAGTGGTGGCAAAGCCCCCCAGGCCAGGGAGAAAGAGACAGAGAGTGGACAGCAGGGCATGGGGGCTTCATCGCCACAATGGCGGTGAAGCCCCCATGCCCAGCAGACAGAGAGCTGACAGCAGGGTGTGGCTGCTTCCTTAGTGTGGCAGCAGTGATGAAGCCCTCATGCCCAGCAGACAGAGAGCAGACAGCAGGGTGTGGCGGCTTCCTTCACATGATGGTGGCGAAGCCCCGAGGCCCAGCAGACAGAGAGCTGACAGCAGGGCATGGGGGCTTCATCACCAAGGTGGCGGCAAAGCCCCCAGGCCCGGCAGACAGAGACAGAGAGTGGGTAGCAGGGCATGGTGGCTCTGTTCGTGCAGGGTGGTGGTGAAGCCCCCAGGCCCCACAGACAGAGAACAGTGGGGTGAAGCAGCCAGGCCTCACAGAGAGCAGAGAACCATGGGGAGTGGGCCTAAGGCGTCAGTAGGACATCCCCTGATGGCTCATGGAATGGAGAGGGTGCAGGTTGGGCTGAGGGATTCCCCCACCCTCTGTGCACGAATTTCATGCACCAGGCCTCTAGTCCATAATAATAAAAGTGTAATATGCTAATTAGATCGGATGTCCTTCTGGGCGACCTTCCAGATGAAGCTGGGGCTGTGAGGGAAGCCCAGGTCCCGAGTGCTGGAGGGAAGCCAGTGCCGGCAGCCGGGGGAAGGAAGGCCTACTCTTGCACAAATTTTGTGCATTGGACCTTTAGTATGCATATAAGATCTTTGTTTAATCTCTTCCCCCACCCATCCCTCTTCTCTCTAAGAATCATCAGTCTGTTCCATTTCCATGCCTCTGATTCTATTTTATTCACCAGTTTATTCTGTTCATTAGATTTCATATTAGTTTATTTTGATTTTTAGATTCAATTGTTAATAGGTATATATTTGTTGCCATTTTGTTGTTCATATTTTGATCTTTTTCTTCTTCTTCCTCTTCTTAAAGAAAACCCTTCAACATTTCATATAATACTGGTTTGGTTGTGATGAACTCCTTTAGCTTTTTCTTGTCTGTGAAGCTCTTTATCTGACCTTCAGTTCTTAATGATAGCTTTGCTGGGTAGAGTAATCTTGGTTGTAGTTCCTTGCTATTCATCACTGTGAATATTTCTTGCCACTTTCTTCTGGCCTGCATAGTCTCTGTTGAGAAATCAGCTGACAGTTGTATGGGCATGCCCTTGTAGGTAACTAACTGCTTTTCTCTTGCTGCTTTTAAGATTCTCTCTTTGTCTTTAGCCCTTGGCATTTTAATTATGATGTGTCTTGGTGTGGTCCTCTTTGGGTTCCTCTTGTTTGAGACTCTCTGCGCTTCCTGGACTTGTAAGTCTATTTCTTTCACCAGGTAGGGGAAGTTTTCTGTCATTATTTCTTTAAATAGGTTTGCAACATCTTGCTCCCTCTCTTCTTCTGGCACCCCCATAATACAAATGTTGGTACGCTTGAAGCTGTCCCAGAGGCTCCTTACATGATCTTCATAGTTTGGATTATTTCTTTTTGCTCTTCTGGCTGTTTTTTGGTTCCTCATATTTCAAATCATTGATTTGATTCTCAGAATCCTCTACTGTTGAATACCTGTATATTATTTTTTATTTCAGTCAGTGTATGCTTAATTTCTGACTGGTCTTTTTCCATGTGTTTGGCATTCTCACTAAGATCCTTGAAAGTCTCACTAAGTTCCTTGGAGGTTTCTAGAAGACTCTTGAGTAACCTTATAACTGTGGTTTTGAACTCTATATCCAGTAGTTTGCTTTCTTCCATTTCTTTCATTTGTGAAATGTTTCTTTGTCTCTGCATTTTGGCTGCTTCCCTGTGTTTGTTTGTATGTATTGGGTAGAGCTGCTATGTCTCCTTGAGTTGGTAGAGTAGCCTTGTGTAGTAGGTGTTTTATAGGGCCCAGTGGCTCAGCCTCCCCAGTCACTTGAGCTGGGTTCTGTATTTTAGTTGTGATTTTGATGTGGTTTTGGGAGGTGGCGAGTACAGGCATTTACCTATGCCACCATCTTGGTTCCTATTTCCATTAATTCTTAGTGTGACGTTTCTCAAAATTCTTAAGCCCCCAGTGTTTTAGACATAGGATTAAAAATTAAATTCACTCCAGATCCCACTCTTCTTAATACTGTGGGGGCCCTCTTCAGTTGGAGCTATGAAATATTCAACTTTGGATGCATATTTAAGAACCAATCATTCAGTTTATCAGCCAGCAGTGACCAAGTAGCTAGCCTTGCCCTGTCTTTAAACTACTAGATGCTTGACAATGAAGAATTAAATGTTAAGCTACTAAACTTCTTGGTTAAAACTATTTCCACTTACCCAGAATTTGGGGAGAATGAAAATGTTTGTTACTGCCTGAATCACCTCAAACAAATATAAACCTTTCCAGTCATTCATAAGTCATTCGTAGCCATTGCTAGGTATTTAAAGACCTATGTTGTATGATAATACAAAATAGATAATTCCAAAATTATCTTAGTACAATTAATTTCCAGATTTATAGAGATTTTGTTAGCTAGGACAAGGATCTCAGGGTCTGGGCAGTTCTAAATGTTATTTCTTGCTAAATGTTAAAGTATAGCCCAGTATTTTGCAGATGCAGCAGTAAACAGGATGAGCTAACAAGGAACTCAACGGGATGAAAGTAGCCAACTGCAAAGAGGATATCAACATACTAGAGGCTCAGTGCATGAAATTTGTGCACAGTGGCGGGGGCGGGGGCGTCCCTCAGCCCGGCCTGCACACTCTCACAATCCAGGACCTCTCGAGGGATGTCCGGCAGTCAGACATCCCTCTTGCAATCTGGAACACCTCGTGGGATGTCTGACGGCCAGTTTAGGCCTGAAACCAGCAGTCAGACATCCCTCTTGCAATCCGGGATGCTGCATGCACCAGTGACCATACTTTTTATATAGGTGAAAGGCATCTTGCTGTTGTATGGGCAGCTACATTTTTTTGCCCTGATTATAAAAAGTAGTATCTAACATGATCCTTCTGAGGCAGTAGTACCATTTTCCCCATCTTATGGGTGGAAAAACTGAAGCAGAGAGAAGTTAAGTAATTGGCTTTGTCACACAGTTATAAGTGTCAGAATCAGGGCTGACCATAAAATGTGCAAGCCAGAGTCCATGCATGTCATCGCTGTATCATCCTGTTTTTTCAGTGTTAGAGTAGCCTGGCCAGGTTTTAATTTTTAAATCTATGAGACTGTTCCCAATATATAGGAGTGCATGTTCATCCCCATGTAGAATAAACAGGATGTGGACAGTTTGGAGATTCTTCTGATGAATTAGCATTAAGCAGCCACAGATCTCTTTTTCAAATACTGCAGAAGCCACCTTCCTTGTTTAACTGTGTGTGGGATGCATTACTTTATAAGCTATGACACAGTCACTCGCAATCCAGGACCCCTTGGGGGATGTAGCAGTGTGCCAAGCGACAGGCAGCCAGGGAGGAGCCTAAACTGGGGCCGGGCACTGTGCCACTCACACTTATCCTGGCCTGCTGTGCCTGCTGCCATTGCTAGGTAGTGCTTCTGTGGAAGCGGGAGAGGTTCCCTCTGCCGCAGCTGCACTTGCCAGCCATGAACCCGGCTTCTGGCTGACCAGTGCTCCCCCTGTGGGCACACACTGACCACCAAGGGTCAGCTCCTGCATTGAGCATTTGCCCCCTGATGGTCAGTGCGCAAAATAGCGACTGGTTGACTGGTTGTTCTGGTTGTTCCATTGTAACCGTCACTTAGGCTTTTATATATATAGATAATTGACCAAATAGTGCATATAATTAATGGCTAAGCTTCCCTTAGCAAGGCAGGGCTTTGGATATGAATCTCCTGTCTCTCCTTTATTTGCTGCAAGTAAATAAAACTACCTTGTAACAACCACATCTCACTGTTTAATGGAGTACCCCAAGCAGTGATATATGATTTCTTTATATCATTGTCTTGTGAATTGTGCATAAAAGGGTTTTTTAATATGTGGCATTGAAATGTGAAGTCATTCC